GGTTTTCGAAAGAGAGAGAGAGAGAGCTGTCTAGTTTCGCTAGAGAGAGATAAGCGGTGATGTGAGAGAGAGAGGGTTGTTCGAAGTAATGAGTTAACAGAGAGAGTAATGAATTTTAATAGAGATGAGAAGTTTAGTTATAGTGTCATTTTTGTGTTTATTTGGGTCAAATTTTTAAGGTCAAAGGGTTTTAGGGGGTTGTAAGGTAGAAAAGATATAATATTTTGGCTTACAAGTAATATTTTGGATTCTTGGATCTGATGAGATATAGAAGATAAAAATAGGGGATAAGAGGATATTTTCCGTAAAATAAATTACATAAGTAATAGGGATTGTCTACAAAGAGACCATTTAACTTTTGTACATAGAGGTCACAATCATCCCCACCCATTAGATGTCAAATTGGATAGGTTTAAGTAAGTCACAAAGTTTGAGAATTTTTTTTATTGAAATTTCGTGTTCATTCAATGACACTCTTACAACCACCTATTTTGAAATTTAAAGGACAAGAATGATTGTGACCTCTATGTACAAAAAATAAATGGGCTCTTTTAGACAATCCCTAAGTACTAAAATGAAGTAGAAATGAGGCAGAGTGGTTTGGATGAGTGTATCATAGCCAATGGCTTTAGAGCTTGCAATCAAGAAAGATATTACTTTAATCGCATATGACACTTCATGGGAGCCTAATGTATGCTTATTCCTAGGAAAGGGGTTGGGTCATAATGGTAGCATCTCCATACCTAGTTATCATGTTGTGGTTTTCAATCCTGCTGACACTGACATGTTAAAAAAAATGAACTCTTTAATTTATCTGGAAAAATTGGGTAGGGGCTGTCTTCCCCACTGAATTGCCTAAGGAAAAAAAAAATTGTATGCTTATTCCTTCATGCAAAAAGACCTCATTTTGAAGATCTTTTATGACCAAATTAGTATGGAAAATTTGTTTGAATTGGAGTTTTAGAATTGGATGGTCTTGGTTTTAGTTGAGGTTGGTTGCCGAAGCATTTTTCATTTTGAAGTTGGTGGCCTAATTTGAGGATGCTATGTCTCTCAATTTAAGGTCTTAAAAATGCTGTGAAACGCTTCGGACTAGACTGGCTGATGTCATGTGAACACCGAAAGAAAACAATAATGAACAGGATAAAACATATAAAACATAAAAATTAGAAAAAAGAAAAGAAAAAAAAAGAATACAAAGATTTACATTATTCTTCACTGATGTCATATTGACTATATTTGGGGCATTCAATCCTCTCATAGGCTCGCACCTATGAAAAATGTTTAAAATGTTATTTTTTTAAGAAATAAAATAACCAAATACCCCTCTGGGGTAGTTTTGTTCTTATTTTCATGAAAATATTTTTGATATATTTTTTAGGTGCATCCCATTGAGATGATCACACATCAAATTTCAAATTCATCTGATTTGTAAAAAAATAAAATAAAATACTCTAAGCTATTAGATCTTGATCAAACGGTCGAGGGTCACTTATGACATTATGGCTAAAGGTACGCCAGCCATTTATTTAGATCTGACGGCTATTCAGATCTGAAGGGTGGAAGAGTAGTATATATAAATTCCATAGGCCTAGTGGCATATGAAGCTTTCTCATATGAACATAGCTGTCCATGCGAGAGAAAGATATTACATCTAACTTCTTTGGTTGAACACTTCGTATTTTACACTTTGATTAATGAATTAAAAAAAAAAGATATTACATCAACGAAAACCCTTGATATGCCTTATTGAAAAAATATCATAGCATACTCATAATCAAACCCATGAACATAAGATTTTGCACAAAGTAGCCGAGAAGGAATACCATACAAAAGAAGCATCACATGCTTCAAATTTCTCCTACAAAAGAAATCAATTAACAAAAGTAAATAATCCAAGCCTCTGGGCAATTTCCTTGTACCATCATTTCAATAACTCTGAACCCTTCACTTCCACGTAAAGAATCCAGTCTATCAAAGAATCACACACCTAAAACTACTTTTTCAAACTTTTCATATCCCAATGCATTTAGGGTAAGCTTTTTATGCTTTCCCTATAATATACAAGTTCTATCGTCCTTTTTATCCAACCATCCATTCTGAATGGAAGGCTAAGATTGCCCCAATCACAATGTCATGTCTCTACACTATTTTATTTTTAATTTTTTTCTATAAACTATTTTGACACCAAATTTGGATGCCTATTCCTCTATTAACTTGCACTAGCAAAAAATATAAAGAAAATATTTTTAATGAAATAAAATGACCAAAATACCCCTAAAAGTTTCAAGGGGTATTTTGGTTATTACATTTTATCAAAAAATTATTTTTAATATTTTTTATAGGTGCGCCCCAATGAGACGATAGCACGTACCAAATTTCATAATCATACAATTTGTATAAAAAAAAACTAAAAATAAAATACTTTAAGACATCGGATCTAAGATCAAATGATGAATGGCTCTCTTGATCAAAATTGGACGGCTGGATGGTCAAAAGAAGATAGAACTTCTATGCTGTAGAAGAGGCATAGAAACCTTTCCCATACATGTATGCCTCATCAAATCTCTCAATTTTAGAAATCCTAAGCGAATCCCAATTATAAAGGAAATATAAAACTTGGCTAACGATAAATCTACCTCTTGACAATTGAATAAGGAAAGTGTTTATATAAAGTTAAGGCCCTAAACACGACGCACCTCAAAAATTCACTTGGAGTGGTGGTTCCAATATCGAAAAACCCTCAAATCGATCATCTCGACCTCAAGATGTATAATTAAGTTTCAAGTCTAAAAAATAGTGTATATTATAATGCATTATCTAAGCCATCAATTTTTAATATTTTCAAGCTTTTATAGATCTGCTCAATCTGCACTATTTTTTGCCATCACAAAGACTTTTGCAACTAAAAAATCATCTTTCCACACTATTAGAAATACACCTTACTTTGATTATTTAGGGCCTCAACCTCATACAAACCACACTATCAAAAAATCTTAATTAGTCACAAAAATCATCATTATTTTCATTTCCATACTTTTAGACTACGATTTGAGGCCTAAATGAGGCAAGTTATGAAAAAGCCTTAGAAATGGTCTTTGTAGAAAATTAGGTCCTCAAAATGCAATTTGAAACACCTAGCTCAAGGATGTGGATGACAATTCATGCTCTTCAAACAATGACTGCATTAACCTCGCTTCTTTCGAGAAAACTCGTCATCAAAATTTGAAGAGAGCTAACTTGATTTCTACATCACGTCCATATTCTTCTTTAACCTTCCATATTCTTCTTTAACCTTTGTTAAGATTCTTAAAATATAACTTTAACAAAAACACTTCATGAAATGGATGAAGATATGTCAATGAGGGAATTGATACCATAAAGCAAATTCAACCAGCTTTTTATTATTTATGTGTATTTACCACTTAAGTTTTCCTCAAAATCCAATCACTCATTTGATATGAACTTTTCACAGTCTATTACTTGCTGATTTTACGAAGAAGTTGTTAGAAGTTTCTTCATGGTAATCATGGAAACCAACCAATGTCAAGGCCCCTTGATGAAATGAATTGACAACAAATATTTCTTCCTAACAATCAATCTTGTACACACATATCTCTACTCCTATGTCCTTCCACTGCACAGTTTGCACATCATGGGTGAGTTGATATAGTTTTTGTGGGCAGTAGTTTGACAGTTTCTTGTAACTGGGCTAATGCATATTGATATGCAGCAAAAGCTCGACTTCTCAATGATATCTTCATATCACAAATTGAACACCCCAGGAAAGCGCTTCTCTGATACCAATTTGATGGGACCTCGATATTCTATTCTTCAAGAGATATTTAAAACATGCAAATAATCAAAACTAATGAATATAAAATTCTGTATAAAGTAGCAAGAGAAGGAATAGCATCACAAGGTTCAAATTTTTCTTCCACAGAAGAAATCAGTAAGAAAAGTAAACAATCCAAGAAGTACCCCGGCAATTTCCTAACACCACTATTCAAATAACTTTGAACCCTAAAATCCTAAAGTTTCTAAGAAATCCTAGCCATCCATTCCTAAACATGTGAACTTCCATACAAAGGCTCCCATCCCTCGAAGAATCACAAGCCCAAACTAATTTCCACCTTTTCGTATACATGCCTCATCAAAAACCCCAGGATTCAAGGAATCTCACATGAATCCAAGTTTTAAGATAATATAAAACTTGGTCAATGAAAAATACACTCCTTGGACATTAAATAATACCCAAATCCTAATTAGTTGCAAAATTCGTCATATTTTCAAGCCCATACTTTAGTCTAAAGATTTGAGGACTAAAACAGCAATGTTATGTACAAAACTTAGATATAACCTTTGGAGATGGACATACACTTTGAAGCACCCAGCTTAGAGATGAAGACAAAATAATACACTTCAGATAGTGACTGCATTAAACATCATCTCAACTACCAATAAAAATTAGGAAGATATCATTCCATTTAAACAGGATTATCACCACGAGTGCATTCATCAGCTAGTGCAATTGTTAACATCTCTGTGCAAAACTGATCATCCGGTTTCAACCCTAAAGCCTGCTCCACAACCCAAAAGTACACATTAGCATATGAGAGAGAGAGAGAGAGAGAGAGAGAGAGAGAGAGAGAGAGAGTAGTATAGTGTGTAGTACGTACTACGAACGAACGATAAGTAAGAAGTAAGGTAACGGTAAACTAACTACTACGTACGTACCGAAACGTAAAGTAAAGTAACACGAACGTA